AAAAAAAAAAAAAAAAAAAGAAATACTATTCAGCAATTGAAAAGAATAAATCTAAACTGAAGATGTTAACATAAATATTTCTTAAAAATAATATGCTAAGAGAAATAAACAAGTGAAAGAGCACTAGAAAAGTACGATCTTGTGAATATTGTGTTCTAAAACGAGCATCTATGGTTAAATCGAAATGTAGTGATGGTATAAAAACTTGCATGGAAGTGATGTTAATGATTCACAATTATAGTTACCTATAGGTGGGGCAGGAAGGGTTAGAGGGGAGTGCACAAGGACTTCAACTCAAATCCTTTTCCTTAAAAAAAAAAATATATATATATATATATACAGAATATATGACAAAATATAGTAATATATTAAAGCCAGGTGTTGGATGCCTGAAGTTCATTATATTTAATATTTTCTAGTTGTTGGGAATATTTCCAAATATCAAATAATACATATAGCAAAGAAAGTTTGCAATAGGGAATGTCCTATTAGCCAACAGACTGAGTAATTTACTTTGACAGAGAAATTGAAAAAGGAAAATGGAAATGTGCTAATTTTCATTTGTTGTTTCAGACAGATGTATGACCACTTCACAAACCTCTACCCACAGATGATTAAGAATGCTTCCATCATGGATAAAGTGCAGAGTTTTATGCAGTATGTATGGTAGCTTTTTTGTTTTTCCTCTCATTGTTTTTAAAATGAAGCAAAACACTACTGAAGTTGGTCTCAAACAGCAATGTTTGCTCTTGCTAAGGAGATGCTTTATCTTTAGCAGGACTCTAAAGCCTGGCTCAGCAGTTTGGGGAACGGCGTGAAAACTAATTGCAGACAACATGGCCTTTATATCTGACTCTTTCAAAGGTCACGTGGAGTCTCCCTCTACTCATGTTAACAGGGCTGGAGGAAAACACCGTCACTGCAGGGCCGGCAAAGGTCACATCCCAGAATCCCTTGCAGAGGAGCGTTCCTCTCCTCCTTGCCAGGATCCTGCCCCCTCCTTTAAGGTGTTTCCTGTCAGGCTTCCTTCCTCCTTGAAAGCTTGGTGATTTGTTCCAGTTTAGATGCTAGCTATATTTAAAATCATAATTCATATTATGATTTGACAATGTTTCTATTTTAATAGAGTATTTCTAAAGACATAATAATCCTTTAAAACTCAGAAAAAAACTAGTTTCGTGTTTGTGGAATAACAAGCTGCTAGTAATTTGGAGACAGGAGGGATTTGGGTTGGCTAGCAAGATCATTCCCCGAGCAACCTCTTCATGAAACACTGAGGTCCTGCAGAACATAGGTCAGCGTACATTGCGTACATTGGACTGCGTCCCATGAAACAATGACCTGGTGTTATTCCAAGATTAGTCTGTAGTCTGGGCAAATCAGAAACAGCTTCCAGTTCATGAAGTTCTAGTAAACCATCCCCTATAAAGTACAGAGAACTTAGGCGACTAAACCAGGGTCGGCAACATAAAAACTATTAAAAAGAGGAAGATTTTGCTAAATATTCTAAGGCCTGGATGTCAAGGTAGTTATTGGTAATAACTGAAATGGATTGAACAATGGCTATTTTTAAGAAAAAATATAAATACACAAAGCTCTTATCTTTGAGAATTTTATTCCTCATGTTTATTTCCTGCTGTTCCTTAACTGAAATGTATACATACAAAAATAATATTAATTAATTTCTTTTTATTGACTTCATGAGGCATATCATGATTGTGTGTGAAATGTACTTGGATGATTTATTCTTAACTTCCTAGGCCTCAGTACCCCAGGTAATTATCACCTGTGTTTTGCTTCCAGATAAAGCACAGAAGTAGCTATCGAAGCATCACAGTCCAACAGAGATATTAAAAATCACTTAGGATGTGCCCTGAAATCCTTTCCAGTGACTATAATATTAAAGCATCTAGAATTTAATTTTCTGTTAGCATAAGAGCCTGGGTAGAAAATATCTAAATGCCTAGGTTTGATTTATCTTTGAATGAGAAATCCTGGAGAGCTCTAATGCCCAGCTAATTTCTCTTTTAGGAAGCAAGATCAGTGGACCCAAGAAAATATCAAAGCTCATAGAAATGATCCATTTTGGAGACATACTGGCTATGTTATGGCACAATTGGATGGGCTAATACTAGGAGCCAAGAGAAGGGCTAAGTTAGAAAAGCAAAAGGTAAGATTTCTAAGAAGCTGCTTAGAATTTATGTGATATGACACAAAATGTTAAAATTTGTCGTTAAGGATCAAAAAAAAGGAAAAGAAACTCAGCGTCATCGAGGGGATTCAGCCTCATAGGGACTCTGTCGAACTGCCCCTAGGGATTTCTGATGCTGTAAAGCTTTACAGGAGCAGAAGCTTCATCCGCCTCCCTCTGAGCGGCTAGTGGTTTCAAACAGCTGACTTTGCAGTTAGCAGCCCAACAAGTAACCACTATGTCATCATCATTTCCGTGCAGACAAACACAATCTTATCTGGTTTCTACACCTAATCCACTGTCTGGCATCAAATCCAAATCTCCCTCACTGAACAAACCAGGTTGTTTCACTTCCACAATATGGTTCTCTGGATGGAGGGTAAAAGCCTATGAATGCAGCGATTCTAACTGTGCTGGTATTTTAGACTGATGCTTGTTAAGCCAAAGTGTCTGTCAGTGTGCACGTTTTATGCTCCTGACCACCCCCACACACATGCATCTACACACACACCATACGTTTTTTTTCTTCAGTTTTCATAACCATTTATTTTCCCTTGTTCCTGAATATGATTAGTTGTCAAGTATTTTTAAGTCTTTTTTTTTTACATTTGAGTCACATTTCTTTTTTTCTTAATAGGGGCTCATACAACTCATCACAATCCGTACATACATCATTTGTGTCCAGCACATCAGTACATATGTGGACTTCATCATTCTCACAACACCTGCTTTCCATTTGAGCCCTTGGCGTCAGCTCCTCATTATGTTTTTGAAAAGATTTTAGTGAGTCATGAAAGACTAAAAGGTGCCCCTGATACACTTGCCAAATATAGGGATTTTGGTTTCTGAGAATATTAAAAATGTCCCATAAATGACCCCCACATATATGATTTTTTTTCATTGTATCACCAAGGCTCCTTCCTGTAAATATTTCCCTTGTTTCTTTAATTTTGAACCAAGTAAATAAATAACCATTGTTTATATCAATATATGAAAAGGAAGATATTGAAGGGAAAAGATTCTTAAATTGTACCATAAATCTGTAGGCAATTGGATATCCCCTTACAGAAGGGTCCCGGGGAAGAGATGAGCCAGTCAGGATGCAGGGTAGCAACGATGAAACATACAATTTTCCTCTAGTTCTTAAGTGCTCCCCTCCCTACCCCCACCACTATCATGATCCCAATTCTACCTAACAAATCCAGCTAGACCAGAGAATGTACACCAGTACAGATAAGAGCTGGAAACACAGGGAATCCAGGACAGATAAACCCCTCAGGACCAATAACGAGAGTAGCCATACCAGGAGGGGAAGGGGAAGGTGGGGAGAGAAAGGGGTAACCGATCACAAGGATCTACATATTGTCCCCTCCCTCGGGGATGGACAACAGAAAAATGGGTGAAGGGAGACATTGGACGGTGTAAGATATGACAAAATAATAATCATTTATAAATTATCAACGGTTCGTGAGGGAGAGGGGAGGGGAGGAGAGGAAGGGGGAAAAATGAGGAGCTGATACCAAAGGCTCAGGTAGAAAGCAAATGTTTTGAGAAGGATGATTGCAACACCTGTACAAATGTGCTTGACACAATGGATGGGTGGATGGATTGTGATAAGAGTTGTACGAGCCCCCAATAAAATGATTTAAACTCCACATATAACACACACATACAGCAGCAGTTATTTAGATCCACTGAAACACAAGTCTGAGTAAATGTCCTATCGTTGTGTGCCCTTGTATAGATTCCGAATCTTCGTGAACCTATATGACAGAGAACTTTCCATAGGATTTTCTAGGCTGCAATATTTACGGAAAGGATGCCCAGTGATACAGTGATTAAGCACTTGGGCTGCGCCTGAGAAGAATTCTGCTACAGAAACCCTATGGGGCAGCCCCATTGGTCCATATGAGGTGAATTATCTTTACAGCACATAGTAAAGATACTCTTAGTGCGAGCGAACCACCAGAGATCTCTTCTCCCATGGAGTCTCTGATGTGTTTGAACTGCCAGTCTTACATGGTGCCTCCAGGGACTGAAACTGATTATGGTAGGGATTGTACACTAGCCACTGGAAAATGCAAATAAAAATAACCACAACGATGAGATACCATCTACCACAATTGTAGCCCAATTAAAAAAAAAGAACAACAAATGCTAGAGAGGAGGTGGAGAGAACGGGACTCTTATACACTGCGGGTGGGCCTGTAAATGCATACAACCACTGTGGAAGATTCCAAAGATGTCTGGCAATAGAAAGCCCATAGGACTCAGCAAGCCCAGTGCAGGGCATATCCCCCCCGAAATAAGAAACAGATCACAAACAGGTGTCTGCTCTCCCCTGTTCATTGCAGCACAGTTCACAATAGCAAGACGCTGGAAACAGCCCAAATCCCATTAGTCGAAGAATGAATGAAAAACTTTGGTATATACACACAATGGAATACTTCACATCCCTCAAACACGCCATGAAACACCTCCTGACACGGAGGCATCTGGAAACCATCAGGCTGCGTGAAGTCGGTCCATCACAAGAGGACAAATACTGTGTGCGTCCACTGCTTTAGAGATGAGCACCAGGATGGGAGTAGACTTGGGCTTTCGGGCCATCCAGCCTCCTGGCCGGGCAGCTCGGTAGAGATCCTAACTGGTGCCCAGGACCCATGTGCCATCCTCTCTATGCATCTTAAGGCTGCCTTGGCAGCGGGGTCCTCGCACCAGGTGGGCTTTTCGAGAGGCGGGGAAGGGAGTATGCCACTTAGTGGCTGCCAGGCAAAGAAGGTACGACGAGGTCCCCCAGACGGCAGGCCTTCCCATCAGAGGGATGAGGGATACTGTTGGGAAAGTCAAGTTCGGAGCAGGGAAAGGGAGCATACACATCTGGGAGAAGACAAGTGCATGTCTGTTGGAAGAAAAAGGAGCGGGCCAACTTTCTAGTAGGGGACATTTGGCTAAGAATACTTTTAGGACCCAAGGAGGGGAGTATGTCTGGGAATCTGCTCCTAATTGGCCACATTGGTCCGAGTTTCTGTGCACCCCTGGAGACCCAGGCCAAGTGCCATAGAACACTGGGACATTGAATCCTGGGTCTTCTAGGCACCCAATATGTTCCAAAGGTCACACCAGAGAGGTGTGATGTGGAAACCGCACTAGGTGAACTAGACTCTACCTCAAACACACCTGTAACCTGAGAATTTAAGATTGCAATTACCTGGTGTGTGAAGTAGCCGAAGACAGCTATACCAAGAGGATTGAACTGTGGGTGGGCAGACTAACATTGACTTACGACTTCAGGGCCCTTCTTGCGCGATTAAGATATGTAGTATTCCGGCCGACTTGTGACTGACGTCAGTGAATATTCTTGCAAGTTTTGCCTGACCACCAACTCCCATTATACAAATAGCATCCACTCATGTAAGAATTTATTCTGTACAAGCGAATGATTCATGTATGATGAATAAAAAGAAACATCTCTAATCCTATCAAAATAATATATTTAATTGTGAAATGTTGAAAACATTCCTGTCATAATTACCACAAATGAACACGCCAGTCAATTCTGAGGCACAGTAACCCAATAGGACAGGCTTGAACCACCCCTGTGGTTTCCCGAGACTGTAACTCATTACAGGAGTAAGGAGCCTTGTCGTTCTCCCACAGAGCTGCTGATGGTTTTGAACTGTTGATCTCACAGTTAGCAGCCTAATGCATAACCACTACACCACCAGGACTCCCAGTTTATATTTTTCTTTAATAAATTCCTTGTACTCACATTTAATTGGCTAAGACATTCTTACATGTCCACATCTAGCTGCAAGAGAAAATATGAATGTGTTCTTTAGCTGGGTAGCCTTAGGTCAAGCTAAACAGTCTATCCTTATAAGCGAAGAGGTGGATCTTGACATGCCAATGAAAGAGTTTCAATTACCTTTAACAGGGAGACAAAGGAAAGATATCTACGGTGATATTTTTTATTCTAACCTTGGCAATAAAACAAGAAAAGCTGTGTAAAGGTAGCAAGGGTTGGACAGAAAGAAACCAAATTATCATCATTAATAATGCATATTATCTTCTATGTCGGACACCTTAAAATATGTGGTTAATTATTGTCATTAAGAGTAGGGGACAAGAATAGTTTTGAGCTTCACATCCACAAACCAAGCAATAAGGAAAACAAAAGCAAAGCAAAATGACAACAACAACAAAAAAGTAAAACACTCAAAAGCTTAATAAAATGTATTACCCCAAGTGCATGTGGGTAGAGCAAAGTGCCTGCACCAGGAAGGTCCATACCGGGCAAACAGCTGTGAGGAAAAGCGATGTGGACAGACCTAGAGCATGTGTTGGTTCAGACAGCAGGAAATAGCAATGAAGCACACACGCCCCAGGGACCTTCGGTCAGCAGATTTGAGAACAACTGTAAGCCCCCAGAAAATGCTATCCAGGCTCTACTCCAAGTCTTAAGAAAATCAGGGGGTGATGAGTGAGCCCTGGGGTCACGTCAGCACTCAAGGCCCTTGGAAATGCCCAAAGGATCTTCCCCTCCACAAGGACGTAGACATAGCGGGTGTCAACTGTTAGTGACCATTTTTAAAGACTTTAGGTTAAAAAACAAGGTAAGGGGGGGTCATGAGTTTTTTAATTAGTCCTGCTATTATGACCCATTCTTGGCCCCTAATGACATCTTCTAAATGTACAGCAAACCTGTCCCATTTAAACACAAGCCAAAAATCCTCCATAAACCAAGGATTGAAGGGGTGGGGAGAGGGGAGGTTCTAGTCAAAATCCACGAAACTATCGAGAGGAAAAAGAAGAGAGCGATCTGAACAGTGGCACAAATACACAATCACAAAGCAGTGAAAACTGTGATGATGTTTTCAAATTATAAGGAAGAACAGTGCATCAAGAGGAAAATGTTATGACATAGTCTAGCCCAGCAAGAGGAGTTTATGGGGAGAGCTCTGTTGTTTTTATTTGCGGCCAAGTCAGTTCCAATTCACAACGACTCTCTAGGACAGAGTGGACCTGCCCCTGTGCGTTTCCAAGACTTCACATCTTTCCGGGAGTAGATGGCCTCACTTTCCCCCACAGAGCGGCTGGTGGGTGTGAACCATTGACCCTGTGGTTAGCAGCTGTGAGTAACCCACAACGCCACCAGTGTCTCATACAATATTTTCAATTTTGAAAAATGAATTGCTTTTGCTTTAAAAAACTGAAAATACAGGGAATCCAGGGCGGATGAGCCCTACAGGACCAGTGGTGTGTGTGGCGAAACAGGGAGGGTAAAGGGAGAATGGGTAGGAAAGAGGGAACCGATTACAAGGAACTGTGTGTGACCTCCTCCCTGGGGGACAGACAACCGAAAAGTGGGTGAAGGGAAATGTTGGACAGGGCAAGATATGACAAAATACCAATTTATAAACTATCAAGGGCTCATGAGGAAGGGGGGAGCGGGGAGGGAGGGGAAAAATGAGGACCTAATGTCGGGGGTTTAAGTGGAGAGAAAATGTTTTGAGAATGATGAGGGCAATGAATGTACAAATGCGCTCTACACAATTGATGTGTGTATGGATTGCGCTAACAGTTGTATGAGCCCCTAATAAAATGTTTTTTAAAAAAAAAGAAGCAAGGAAGTATACATAAATAATTGGGTTGATTTTACTTATTTATTTTGGTCAAAATATCATTGTTTGTCTTTTCCACACCTCTTTCCAAGAATGAACTTAGTAGAGTTAATAGAAGCCTAGCCTCAGTCTCCTATTATGGATTGACAATATTGTTTTTACTCTTGCCTAGACCCTTGCTCACTAGTTAACCAAAACTTCATGTTCAAGTATAAGTTCAATCATGGTTACAGGTTAATGCTGCCATGTCAGTTCACCCTACATTAAGCACATAGATAAAACCAAAGGCTTTTTAGTGGGATGTTTTTCCTGTTAAAGCAGTAGTCCTCAACTGGGGGCACCCCAACCCCACTCAATATAATTGGCAATGTCTGGAAATATTTTTGGTTGCCCAAACTGGGAGATGCTACTGATATCTAATGGGGAAAGGCCAGGAATGTTGCTAAATATTTTGTAATATCCTTGATAAAGAATCATTCAGCCCCAAATGTCAATAGTGCTCTTATTGAAAAATCAGATTGTAGAGAAATGCCAATAAATGGCCTTGCATGTTCTATGGTTGAAGGAAACATTCCCCCAAACTGTGGACATCAAAACATGCTAAAATCTCTCTCATGAACTATACGAAACAAAAATTGTTTTATAAACTACAATACAATTTAGTAGATTGGTTATGTAAGGGCCCTTCCCTAGAGCATAAGCAGGCGGACCCTTACGCCAAGGAAAAGAAGAAATGACATCTGGCTTTCATGAATCTATGTTCATTGCAGTTGTGCTTTCTCAGCCCCTGACCCAGTTCCAGGTCCAGTTCCTGAACGCTGTTGGAGATATGTTGGATCTGGTTCCCTTGTTCTCTCTCAAAGGCAACCTGGATCTTCAAAGGAGAATGGAAATGGGACATTGTTCTGCTCTCATTAAGGTAAGCTCCACACTCAACCCTTCTTTTCCCTCTTTCTGGTCCACACAGACTCTTCCTGTAAGTTACTCAAGTTATGGGAGAATCTCATCACCCCTACCTATGTGCCAGCCCCTGGGTTCCTAACTCATGGAATTAAGAGCGAGAAGGAACTCCCCCGGAGGCAATTGGAAGTCTATGAGTCCCCTTCTATTGTCTCCAGCATTTTTTTCATGCTGTGTGCACCTGCCATTTTCAAAATCCATTGTGAACTTTAAAAAGGTGGAATCTATCTGTTTTGTGAGCATTAAAGGTTAATGTTGAGCCCGTAGCCATGTTTTCCAGTAATAAATATAACAATTTTATTTGGGTTTGGAAAGAGCTGCAGAAAACCACCAAATTGTCACAATCCCATATGGCCCTACATTCAAATTGTAGTCAGTCCTCTAGATACCTCTGCATCATTCACTGTTATTCTGACCATAGGTTCTTCCTGGATTTGAGAATATTCTTTTTGGTCATTCAAGTTGGTTTGTGTATGCATCCATGCTGAGGATATATAAACACTGGGACTTCAACATCAATGACAAAGACACCAGCAGTAGTCGTCTATCTTTCAGCAGTTACCCAGGTAAATCAATGTAGAGGGATATCAAAGTACATCTGAGGACTTTGAGTACTATTACAGGATAAAACTTGAATGATTCAGACTAGACTTGGAAAAGAACTATTTAGTGGCTCATATATACTCATGAGAATTCTGAGTTTTAGACTTCCTTGTGAATTAATATAGTTCTAGTACTTTTTATTTAATAGAATGACATAATCTGAGTTAATCGGGTTGCCAAATAGGAGACACTTTATATATAAATGGATGTTTCTAAATTCACGTCATAAATGTCAGCAATTTATTAAATCAAGGCATTCTCTTAGGCTCTGTAATAGAAGCAACGATGAGCAACAAAGAGTTCCTGCTCTCAGTGCCTGCTTGTGGGCAACACTGCTTCTTGTATTCATTGCAATATCCACAGCACTTCTTTCATGTCCTCTTCTGACTCCAGCCTGAGCCTCTGGTGGCTCCCTGTCAACATACTGCTATAACCCTTGTTGGATGATCTTCAATAAAATTTTACTTGCCTATAATAGCAATGATATCCTTCTATAATTTGCTATTGGGTTACCTTTCTTTAGAATGTCTTCCTAATTTCCTGGCATAGATGACGGGAGTACTTCCAGTGCTTCATTGGTTTGTTGAAACATTTCAATTGGCCTTCCATCAATTCCCGGAGCTTATTTTTGGCTAATACCCTCAGTGCAGTTTGAACTTCTTCCTTTAGTACCATGGGTTCTTGATCATAGACTACCTCTTGAAATGGTTGAATGTCAACTCGTTCTTTGGTACAGTGACTGTGTACTCGTTTGATCTTCTTTTGAGGCCTCCTTCATAGTCTTAATAGTTTGCCCATAGAATCTTTCAATACCACAACTCAAACCTTGAGTTTTTTTCTTCAGTTCTTTAAATACGCTGAACATATGCTTCCTTTTGGTTTTCTAACTTTGCTCATTTCTGGATAGTTTATGTTGTTTTCTCAAGCTGCCCTTGGAAATTATCTGTTCAGTTCTTTGACTTCATCATTTCTTCCATTGCCTCAGCTACTCTATGATTAAAGCAAGTTTCAGAGTCTCTTCTGACATCCACTTTGGTCTGTCCTTTCTTCCTTCTCTTTGGAACGACCTTTTGCTTCTTCATGTGATGGTCTTGATGCCCTCGCACCGCTCATCGGGTCTTCCGTCATAGTGTTCAGTGCATCAAATCTCTTCTTAAAATGCTCTCAACATTCAGGTGGGATATACGCAATCATATTTTGGCCCTTATGGGCTGGTTTTCATTTTCTTCAGCTCCAATCTGAACTGACATGTCAGCAATTGATGGTCTGCTCCACAGTCAGCCACTGGCCTTGCTTCACCTGTGGATATTGAGCTTTTCATTGTCACTTCTCACAAATGTAATCAATTTTGTTTCTATGTATTCCATCTGATTCTGTCATCCACAGAGGAATAGTGTCATTCATTGTCAAAAAGGACATTTCAAGATCTATCTGGAAGTACAATGCTGTCTAAAAGCAAAATATCTATCCATATCAAGAGGATAGATCCACTTAATCCACAAATCCAATTAATAAAACTATTATTCAAATTTATACAATCACGATAACTACTGGTGCAAAAATTAAAGAATTCTACCAATGTTTCCAGTCTGAAATTGATCACACGTGCAAATCAAGATCCCTTGATAATTACTCAAGTCTGGCACGCAGCAGTTGGAAACAAAGAGGAAGGAACAATAATTGGGAAATATGGCCTTGGTGATAGAAATGAAGCTGGAGATAACACGATAGAATTTTTGCAAGACCGAAGATTTCTTCATCATAAAAACCTTTTCAACAATACAGAAAGTGACTGTACGTGTGGACTTCTTCAGATGAAGGACATCATTGTTGTTGACTCTCCTTTGAGAAAGCAGGTCTTCTTCACCACCTTGTGAGCGCCTTCCAACCTGAGGCGCTCGACTTCTGGCCCTCTCTCTGCTGCCACTCACGAGGTTTTCAGTATCTGATGGTATTCCTCTCCGATCCATAAAGTCTTCAGTGGCTAATGCCTCTGAAGTGGACAGCCCATACCTTCTTCATAGACTACTAAGGCTTCAAGACTCAGTTACTCTGCCCACCCCACCCCCCACCCCAAGATTCTGAAGGCAGAAAGAGATATCTGTTTAGACATCTGCTAACTGCTCTTTGACAAATCACACCCAACTGTTCTATTTCTCTACCAAATGACACCGATGCAGTGCTTCCTTCAGAAACTGGTAAAAGTTTATACTTTATCAGCAAGTGTCGGATCGCTACTTACTAGGTGCCAGACACAAGAGTTGTGATGGCGAGCAGGAGAGACACAGTGCTACTCTTATCAATTTGGCATTTGGTGAGAAATGGTGACCAATAAAAAGCACTAGTAGTAAAGTGTGACTGATCATGTAATAATAGAGCAGACTTGTCTGGGCATGTCTGGATATTTCTAAGAGGAAGAAAAATATCAATTGAGGCACAAAAGCAAATATAAATCAAGCGGGGCAAAAGAGCTAAGAGGGAAGTAGGATGTCCTATGTGGAGCTCACAGCATGGGTGAAGGCCTGTAGGCTAGAGAAAGGACAAGGCAAGACTCTTGCAATGACAAAGGGAAGTAACACGATTAGAATTACATTTTAGAATGATCTGACCTTTGAGCGGAGGAGGAGGACAGAGATGTTGCCAAGAGAACATTTAGAAGCCTAGAGTCCATGTGACTCTACACTATAGATGGCCAATCAATGTATGAATGGAAGATTGCTAGCCGTCTACCATAAGATAATGTCAGAAGATGTTTACTGTTGCCATCATGATTTTGTATGGGATCTTATTGCCCTAGTCAGACTCCTTGAGGAGTAGTTACCTAATAAGAGTCTCAGAAGGGTACTCCCCAAACTGTATTCCAGAATAGGAGAGGAGAAAGAGAGGGAGAAATTCTTCATACTCTGTTCATCAATTTTATGAAGGATTTACTGTCCCAGCATGCCTAGATTTACCTTAGTCCATCTCACTTAAGTCTGAATTTACCAGTGCCCCCAAATGATATGACAATCAAGTTAACTATGACAAGTAAACAGATTAATTTAAGAACGTATATCCCAATCTAGAAAGGCTGTAAGAGGACTTGGTTGTCTTCTCAGTCTTCGTGAAAATCAGAGTGGCACTTTCTCTCGTCCTTGGGGACATTACTTCACTCTGAGAGGCTAAGGTAAAAGGGCCTTGGAAAGTGAGAAATATATCAAAACTGAATACAATGCTGATAACCTCAGTCATGCTCTTCGGCCCAGGCAAGCAAGGCCCTGGTTTGAAGTGCTTTTGTCAAGATTTTGGAAGTTCCTTTCCTGTGATTTGAGACAAGCCATGCTGGCGGCACCACGGCACTCTGGCCCTGGCCCTGGCCCATGGCCCATGAGGGTTCTAGTTAAAAGAGTTCTTATCTAGACATTTTCTGCATCTCCCTCCAGTGCTTGAGACAGCCAGGCATGGCGGAGATTGATCTTGCAGAGCTCTCTGGTCCCTGGCTCCACATCTCCCGTTCCAGCAGCTGTCCCTCCCTTACCCCTCTCCCTACAGATGGGATCAATATGGGGTGAAATCAGGACACACAGACCTTTCAGCTGCTCTGTTTTTGTTCATGTATGTGTATGTATGTGTGTGTTCATTCAGTCACTTGAGTTTGCTAGAGGCCACATGATTAGGCAAAAGCAGCTCTGGGAGATTCGTGGACTCTGCATTGAGCGGCTAACTCGAAGGTCAGTAGCACAAAACCACCTGCAGCTCCAGGGAGAAAGAGGAGGCTTTCTTACTCCCAGAAAGGGTGACAGTCTCAGAAACCTACAGGGACAGTTCTGCCTCTGTCCTATAAGGTCGTCACCGGTCAGCATTGACTTGATGGCTTGGAACTCAAAACCTCACTGCTCTGGAATGAATGGCCCTCTAGGACCGGGTAGAACTGCCCCTGTGGGTTTCTGAGGCTGGAACTCTTTACAGGAGGACGAAAGCCTCCTCTTTCTCCCCCAGGGCTGCTGGTGGTTTTCTACTACTGACCTTATAGTTCGTTAGCAACCCGATGCCTACCCCACGAGGCCACCAGGCAGTGAGAGACTTTTTTGACATGATAAGGCTGCCTGAATGCTAGGAACGCCATCCTCCTGATTGCCTCTCACTTCAAACACTGCTGTGTGTTCAGTGCTGCAGGGAACTGACAATCCATCTTTTCTTTGAGTTCTTGTGTCAACTTGCCCCTGCCTGGGTTCTGAGTAGAGAGGCCTCATGTCTTCAGCCCCCGAGGGTAGCAGGGTGGAGACTGGTGGCCTTTACTCCTCTGTCCCCTCTGGCAGACACCTCACCTCACTGCAGACTCAGTACCAGGTTGGAGGCAGCTGGCCTGGGTCCTCCTAGAGCTCTTGAGAACCGTGTACCAGAACCCAAACGGGCCTTTGTGACAGCTCTCTTAAACTGGAAAGACATTCCTTATATAACTGGATGACTCTGTCTCTACCCACAGCTCTCCCACCTATTTTGTCCACTGGTGGTGGTGGGTGGAAGGCAGGGGTATGGTTGACATGGACAGAGATCACATTCTGTTAAGGCTTAGAGAGAAGACCTGGTTGGAAAATATGTTGGTCTCTCTTTATACTATATAATGCAACGTTAATGACCAGAAGCCAAATTATCATTCTTCTATTTGCTTACCAACACTCTGGGCGAGATTTACAGTGGTGGTCCTCATCAAAAACCATGACAATCTCTGAGAGAGTCCCTTGAAGACAGTTGCCACAGCAACAGGTGGATATTGCAGTCACTGCGGCCAGTTAATGGCATGAGGGAAGTGCACACCACCCATCTCCAGAAAGTATGGCTTTGAGAGTCGTAAGTGTGCCTACCTTTCTCTCATGTTGAGCTATATGAAATTAGCCAGGGAAATGCATTTGCTAGAAAGAGCTCCCCAAAAGATGGCACGTGGACATGATAAAGACTCTTCACATGTACTGATTAGATAAGA